CTCCAGCAGGTGGACCATGAAGAGGCTGTCGATGAGCTGCTTGAACTCGTTGTGGCACAGCGTGTACTCGAGCTTGTTCTCCTGCCGTGGCCGACGGGGGGAAGCGGGAGAGGAGGAGGGCGAGGGGGTAGGCGAGGGAGGAGGAGGAGGAGGCGGAGGAGGAGGAGGAGGAGGAGGAGGAGGAGGAGGAGGAGGAGGGGGAGGAGGAGGAGGAGGAGGAGGAGGAGGAGGAGGAGGAGGAGGAAGATGACGACGGGGAGGACACGGGAAGACCAGGACGAAAAGGAAGGAGGAGGAGGAGGACTCTGAGACGGTACTCATTCTTTAGAGGTGGAAGGTCCGCGGGCGGCCAGGGACTTTACGAGCGGCCACCTCTGTGGGCCTGACGGCCAGCAGCAAGCTTCGGTGTTCTTCTGCTCAGGCCTAGGGCGTGCTCTGCCCTCTTGGAGCCACCTTGCGGCCCGATTGGAGCCAGAGGGGGAGGAGGAGGAGGAGGAGGAGGAGGAGGAGGAGGAGGAGGAGGAGGAGGAGGAGAGAGAAGGAGGAGAAGGAAAAGGAAAAGGACAAATGAAGGAGGAGGAGGAAAGAGGAAAGAGGAGGAGGAGGATGAGGAGAGGAGGGAAGGAAGGAAGGAAGGAAGGAAGGAAGGGAAGTGGATAGGAAGGGAAAGAAGGAAAGGAAGGCAGGAAGGAAGGAAAGGACGGAGGAGGATGGATGAGGACTAGGAGGGAGAGGGAAGAGGAAGGAGGAGGCGAGGAGGAGGAGGAGGAGGAGGAAGGAGGAGGATGAGCAGGAGGAGGAGGAGGAGGAAGGAAGGAAGGAATGGAGGAAGGAGGAGGAGGAGGAGGAGGAGGAGGCATGAGGAGGAAGGGGAGGAGGAGGGAGGAGGACGGAGGTGAGACGGGAGGAGGGAGGAGGGGAAGGGGAGGGAGGAGGGAGGAGGGAGGATTGAGGCGGGAGGAGGGAGGCGGAGGCGGAGGAGGAGGATGATGATGAGGAGGAGGAGGAGGAGGAGGAGGGAGGAGGATGATGAGGAGGAGGAGAAAGATAAGGAAAAGGAGGAGGAGGGAGGAGGAGGAGAAGGAGGAAGAGGAGGAAAACGAGGAGGAGGCGGAGGAGGAGGAGGAAAAGGAGGAGAAGGAAGGGGAGGCTTGGATGGTGACCATGGCCCAAAAGTGGTCACAGCTTCTACAAGGAGGCCCAGATGGACTCCAGATCACCCCTCACCAGGCCCAGAGGGCCCAGGGGGGTCCAGAACGGCGCGAAACGCCAGGGACATCACCCCTGGCAAAGCAACCTCCAAGTGGCGAGGGGGAGAGTCGGGGAAGAAATTCGGGCCAGCGCTTACCCACGTCAGCCACGACGAAGACAGGATGAAGACGAGGGGAGGGCAACCTGCCTCATCGCCCTGTCGCTCTAGCAGGGGTGGATCCTGGAAGCCTCGTCCCTCTTTTTTCTGGGCACGTTCTCTTTCCACCCCGAGCCACTTCTTGACGGTCCCTGGGCCTGGGACGTGAGGTCCCCCACGTGCCGCAGATGGACCAACGCACTCCGTCGTGATGCCTTTGGGCGCTGCTCCATGCGGAGGCGATAAAGTGGAGGGGCGAAGACACGGGCACCCTTCGTGCCCCTTTCTGGGCCCCAGGGGGGCCCGTTTGAGGGCCCCACACCAAATGCACCCCCTCGTCCTTGTCCTCCTCTCCCTCGTGTTCTGCCTCACAGTTGTGATGCGACCTGCTCTTCTGCCTCGCAATCGGTCGCTCTGCCGTTACGCATGCGTCTCGCAGTCGAACGGCCGCACACATCCTGCCGGAAACCCGGCTCTGCGGCGGCAGTTGTGCCCAGGCGCCGTGCCTCGGGCTGGCGCATGGCTTCTGCACTGCGCCAATCATCGCCACCCCCATTTCGCAAGAGCCGATCTGCTGCCACGGCGCCGGGATGTCCTGGCTCTCAGCGCCTGCGGCCGCTTCACGCTTCGTGCCGCGGCGCCGACGTCTGACACCGCGAGGATCGTTCAGGGGGATTTTTGACGAAAAATAAAAAACACCCAACAAAAAATAGTCCAAAAATGATATGGGGACTATTTTTTGAATATGTTTTGACCCTTGTGGGGTATTTTGGGGGTATTTTCTTATATTTCGTCTAGGGGGACACGCCCGACTTAAAACTTGGATGATCGGCCGCTTCCGAAGCGTCAGAGTGTTCAACAT